AGGAGCCACCACCTGCCCCGCCCGCATCCCGGCACCTCCCGACCACGTGCAGAGCTCGGAGCTTCCTTCCCTGGAAGAGCGCGGACCTTGGGTCTGGACAGCTTCCCGGAAGCTCAAAACCTCACCTCTGCTGGGTCAGATAACTCAGGATCCTGTGATTTCGTGTGACAATCAAAGGTGCCACCCACACCCATTACATCTGCGGACATTAGAGCAAATAGGAAATAATGAAAAGGAGCGAATTAAGATGACATGTCGGTGTGGCGTGACATGCAGGGCCGGGTGTGGAGGGCTGGCTCCTGATTCAGGACCCACACCTGGTCAGGGGACCCAAAGCTCGCCTGCCCCGGGCCACTGCAGGCAGGGAGGTCCAGGCTGGGGGCTGGAGCAGAGGCTGAGGGCCCCTCTGAGGGCATGGCTTCTCCAGGTGCTGTGTCTGGTGCCGTGGCTCAAGTAACTTCCTGTCATAGTTACGTCCATGTCCCGAGAGTTGCCGTCTCTTCCGGGCCTCGCTGTGGCCACTTTAGCCTCTGCTGTCCCGGCAGGCGCAGCCGTGGCTCCTCATGGCTTTAATCTGCCTCTCACCCGTGGCGCTGCCGGGCATACTTCTGCGCACCCTTGCTGAGGGGTCTGCTAACTTTCTCCTTACCAAGAGAGAGGCATTTTGTTCCCTTCTTTTTACCTTCTGAGAACCCTCTCTACGTTCTCCGCACAAGTCCTTTGCCAGATTTGTAAATGCTTCTCCCAGCCCGTGGCTTGCACTTTCGTGTTTTTAAACAATGCCTTTCACAAAGCACAGCGGCTTAGCCGGGTGTGGTGGCGCACATCTGTAATCCCAGCACTCGGGAGGCTGAGGTAGGAGGATTGTTGTGAGTTTGAGGCCAGCCTGGGCTACAAAGTGAGCTCAAGGTCAGCCTGAACTCCATAGCAAGACCCTGTCTCAAAAAGAAAAAAAAAAAAAAAAAACAAAGCACAGCGGCTTTTAATTTTTATGAAGATGAATCTCTCAATTTTTAAAATATGCTATGCTCTTGGTGACAGAAATAAGACTTTTTGCCTAGCTCAGTATCATAAAGATTTTCTCCGAGTTTTATAGTTTTGTGTTTTAAATTCAGACCTACGAGCCATTTGAGTGACTTTGTGTACGAGGTGTGCGACGCAGGGTTACGCCCGACACCCCCTCCGCAGCCGACGCTGAGCGCCCGGGCACCCGCGGACGAGGCCTGGGCCTGCCGCTCGCACCGCGTCCCGCCGGCTCGCCGCCGCCGCCCGGCGCCGTGCAGACCTGCGGGCTCCGGGGCTCGCAGTCCTCTTTGCCCAGAACTTTCTGACTCCAAAACTGCTCAGAAAAAGCTATTAACTTTAACAAGTCATTAATATTTCAAAAATACCTTACAGTCCTTTGATTGTCCCCCCCCCCCTTTTTTTTTTTTTAACAAAAATACAAAACCAAATAATTTTCACTAACCATCGCTGCTGTTACTGCCCGCTGTCTTTGCTTATTTTCCCTGGCCAACTCTGTTTCCTTGGCCTTCAGAAATCGGCGCCAGCAGAGGGCGCCGGAGGGCAGGCGTCGCTGCTCCGCGCCTCTGGCTGGGTTGGGTGCGGGTGCGGGGTGCGGGTTCGGGGCTCAGGGTGCGGGGTGCAGTCGCGGGAGCCCCGCCCAGTGCTCGCCAAGGACCCCGACTGGACGCAAGGGGAATGCTGTTCCTGCATTACGGAAGTTGAAGGAAATCAGTTTTTCAATTGATAACTACCCCAGTGGCCAATCTAGCTAAAGTGAGGAGGATCCGTGTTTTTAACTTAAGCAAGAACTCTTAAGGGACCCAGTGGGTGTGGGCTTACTTTCGTGCTTCAGAAGAAAATTCCCAGGAACATGTACAGTATGACCTGCTTACTTTTTAATGCCTTTCCCAGAAATATCTGCTTACGTTTGTTAAGTCAGTGCACCCTCAGTTTTTCCAGCGTAAGAGGAACGTCTAGGGTTGCTAAAAGGTTCATTAAAAGCTCTGTTAAGCTCCCGCAATAAACTTCTGAATGTGGTCTTGCTGGATTCCCAGGGGTTATCCAAGAAAGGAAGTGGGGAATGTTTCTCTAGAAAGCGAAGTGGGAAAATGTTTAAAACTATTTATAGCAGCACTTAACTGTGGAAATCCCAGACCTCCCCCTCTATTTATAGCTCCTCTGCGGGTTAAAAGGGTGAAGGCAGAAATCTTGAAAATGCACACGCTTGTCTCCAGCAGCTAACGCTAATAAGCTGTCTCTCCGTGGTTAGGATAACCAGATACTCAGGAGCGACTCTGAAATCACAGTAAATACATCTTGGCTTCCAGCAATGTTGTTTGTTTAGATTTACAAGAGCAATGGTTTCCCTGATAAAGTAGCTCTCGCTGGGGTTCCCTGTTGTCAGGTCATCTGCAGACTGGAGTCTGCGTGCGTGCGGAGTGCCGGCTTTCTAACGACCAGCGGGAGGACGGCGGGTTCTGCAGTCAGCGCACAGCCAGTGCGTTTCCAGCTCCGGCTGACTGAGCAAGGGAGGCAGGGAAAGGACCGGATTCCAGCGGGACCCTTCACCCTCGCTCTGGGGACGCGGACTTCTGAACATTGCCCAGGCGCGGGTGCAGGCCCCTGGCTGCCCTGCCCAGAGTGGAAGGTGCCACATCCTGACCTGAAGAAGCTGACTGTGTGGCAGCTTTTTCATTTTGGTGGTGCCAGGGACTAAACCCGGGACCCCTTCCCTGAGCTACATCCCTAGTACCCGGGCAAGCCCCTCCCGGCTTTTAATTTTGGGACAGGGTCTTGCTAAATTGCCAGGTTACCCAGGCTGGCTTTGAACTTGTGGTCTTGCTGCCTCAGCCTCCTGGAGTGCTGGGATTACAGGTGTGCACACCACGGCCGGCTTCATGTGCTTTTCCGCCTGGTGAAAAGACCTGGGAGGAGGTGACCGCGGTGGGCTGGTCAGAGCACCTGAGGGCTTGGGTGGGGTGATGGCTTGTGGGGGCAGTCCTTGGAAACACTCAGCCGGCCTCCCTGAGGTGTTCACGTGTTCAGAATGCAGTTCTCTGCCCTCAGAAAAATTTGGCTTCAGAACCAGCTGGAAGCTTGGTGAGGCCTATAACCCTGGCCAGCCACGTGGGAGGCTGAAGGAGGAGAACTGCACCTTCTGGGCTACAGAGGGAGATTCTGCCTCAAAATAAACCTTTAAAAGGGCCAGGGCTATAGCTCAGCTGTAAAGCGCCCCCAGGTCCCAGTGCATGGGGACAGTGATGCAAACTCTGAGACTCGATCTCACAGCGTGGGGAGGCAGCCAAGTCTCAGGGAGGCCGTGTGGGGCCCGCTGCAGTCCGCGTCGTCCCTGGAGGCAGAGGTGTGCGTGCACAGCGCACCATTCATCCGGGGCGCGCGCCGACCGCACCCCGCTCCACTGCCTGAGTGACGGCTCGGGCCAGCTCAGAGGTGAAGCTCGCCGGAACTTCCTTCCCGTCCTCCCGCTCCACCTGTCACTTAGCGACGGCTGTCTTCGCCACGTCTTTCCTATTCCGCGCTGTTTCCTGTGCCCCTGGGGTGTGGCGGAGGTGCCGGCCCTCCAGGCTGCCTGTCCACTCTCCCGAAGGGCTGGCCTTGTCCGTGGAAGCCACAGGGGCTGCGCTGCGAGAAGCGGGGGCTGCGGTCCTCACCTCGCTTCTACTGTCAGCACGGCGAGGTTCTGGCAGTGGATCCGGTCTCAGGGCTCCCTATCCTCCGTCTGGGGTGGAGCGCGGGCTGGACCCTCGCCAAGGCCCCAGCTCCCCTGCTTCATCCTCTCCCACAGCCCTCCTGGGTTGCACTGTGCTCTGGATGGGTCACCCCAGTACTCAGAGCCGTTCATCTCATCTGCACCCACTCTCTGCCCACCTGAGAACACCTTCGCGTGCTCCGAGGGGATGGACATGGCCCGGCCAGAGGCGGCTGGCACAGAGGCCGAGGGCTTCCTGAGAGGATCAGGCGATCTTGGCAGAAACTGCGGCTCCCATCAGCCCGGGGCTGAGTCCTGCAGCACCCGGGCCAGCAGGAGGATGAGGCCTCAGGCCTGCGGGGCCCCTTATCCTGCTGGGCAGCGGGGGTCCCCTTTGCAGGGCTGTGGTTTTGATAAATCGCTGCTGGGTCAGATGGTCCACAGCAGGGTCAGAACCAGGGTGCAGCTGGGACAGGCTGAGGACGGTGTGGCAGGATCCGCGCGGAGGTCCTGGGGCTGCTTCCCTTTACCCTGGCCCAGCTGTGCTAGCGGTGATGGTGCTGGGGTCACGGTGCCCAGAGAGGAGTGCTTGGCACGACGGCCTCTGTGTCAGGGCTGCTCAGTCCCCGGCAGAGCCCTGGAGGGGAAGGGAGGGACAGAGAGACTAGCGGAGCCTGAGCTGTCACAGTCCCCCAGAGCTGCCAGCCCTCCCCGGGCTCCCCCTTGTCCCGTGGCCAGCACGCGGCCCCAGGTGTCCCGGCGAGGCTGTGCCGCTGGCGGGGTGACGGAGGAAGGGCTGAGCTGTCCCTGCGGCACCAGCAAGGGCCTGGCTTCCCCGGGAAGCCGGGAGCCACAGAAAGCGCCTGACCAGGCCTCTGCCCCCTGCCTCCCGGGACGCTGTGTGTCACATGGGTGCGTATTTGTGGTCATCCCCAGCTTCTGCTGAAGCGCCGTTCACGTTTCGTGCCTCATAAATAAAATGTGGTGGAATAAGGACCCCTCTGGAAGGACAGGTGGGGTCCAGGCACATTCCCTTTGGGAGAAGAAAGTGTCCTCAGATGACTCTGCTCTGCAGCCAGATTTGAAACCCACGGAGTGGGAATCACAAGAACCAAGTGATGCGGCCGGCTGCTCTCCAGCTCTGCCTCGGCCGAGCGGCTCCCGCGGCCCGTCTTACCCTGGGTTGGCTTTTCACGCATTCTGTCCTGGCGGCTGCTTTGGCCGAATCCTCAAAGGAATCATACTGCTTACTGACCCTCAGATCAAAGTATTTTAATCATGCAATGGAAGCAATAAGAACAGTTTCCTTCCAGTATTTTTTAATGGGTAATTTGATTATACACGGTGTGTGAGCCCCTAAATTATTTTGTGCGCTCAGATAAGACAATTGCAAAAACAATTTTTCTTGAGCCAAAAAGCAGTCTCGTCCAGCCACAGAGCCCGTGGCAGTGACAGCAGGACCCTGGCATAGAGTAGAAGCTGGACGCTGGCTCCCGAGGTAGGGTGACCTGTGGCCCCTCAGGCTGAACAGGCCTGGTCCAGCACGTACCGGAGAAAGGGTCAGGGCTGTGCATCTGGGCACTACGTGTGTCAGCACGGGAAGACAGACACGGAGAACCGTGACCTTCACTGAGCGCAGATATACACACCCTGCTCTCACGCAGACAGGAAAAGGCTCCTGGTTAAGGAACGAGGTGTTTGAGTCTAGCCGGAACCAGCTGACAGTAAAGGTAGCTGCCCCTGGGTTCTTGGGTGACCTTATAGAGCAGTCCAGAGAGCCTTGAGATGGGGGGAAACTGAGGCCTGCATTGCACTTCTCAGCTGGAAGTGGTGGAGGGGCTTGCTCAACCTGCCCGCGGGTCCGGCGTTTCTGCTGCGGCTGTGATATTCGGCATCGCCTCATCCATGCTCTCCTGGCTGGTACTTGGTCTCAGTCACTGCACGTGGCGTTCACACTCCATCCGACTGCTTTCTCAAGATGTCACCCGGACTCTTTCAGGGTCCTGAGATGTCTGCAGTGTGAGTTCTGACTCCCCATCGACCTCCTAAACCTCCCAAGCCTCTTGCATCCCTATTTTATAAAAGTAAGATGATCTCTCCCTTTATCACATAAATCAGGTAATCAATCCATCCTATTGCTCTGCCCCAGAAAGACCGTCTCTTCTGGCGCTGCTGCTCTGGACATGCCTCATTTCAAACACCTCCCCCCCCAGCAGCCCCCGGGGTCTCCCTGTCTCCCTCTCTTGTCTTGCCCCACCCAAGCTGTGGGCCACACTGCTATCAGAATGACCTTCCCCCAATACAGGCCTCTGCTGGCTTCCTAGGGATGATGAGATCCAGGCCGGCAGGGTCAGCAGGCACTGCGTGGAGTTCACACACTCATTCCCTCCGACCTCTGGCATCAGGGCCGCCCTGCCTGTGGCACACATATGCACACACATGCGTGCGTGCACGCACACACACACACACACACCCATGTATGCACACACATGCACAGCAGTCCATGAGGATCATGTCACCCCTTCCTAGAGCCTCCTGAGTGCCTATATCTAAGAGCTGTCGCTTCTTCCAGAGGGGCCTTCTACCCTTTCCTCCTGCCCTGGAATTTCCTGTGCATTTTTCACCACGAACCAAGCGCTGTCTTCCCTACAGCTCTTCTCCATGCCTCCCCCCTGACCCCCACCCCACAGTAACCCGCCCGCCGCCCGGGCTTTGGTCTCATCCCCGGGACAGACTTAGCCGCGCCCTTCCGCTCACCCTGGTCCACGGGCTCCTCCGGTGCGGGAGTGGAGCTGCGCCTGCTGTGTGTAACCAGGCCGTGCATGCAGGGACCTTCACCGATTGAGATGGAGCCCACTGAAACTTCAGGGCCTTGGCTTTCCCTCACACATTTCCAGTTGGAAGATTTCCTCACATCGCCATGAGCTCCTCAGATGCTTATCAAAGAAGCAACGGACTCTTTTCCGGGTTTGTTGCCAACTGAGCCGAAGGCTGAGCTCCCCGAACATCGCAGGGGCCCGGTTCTGAGGTTTGGGATGAAGACTGCTGAGCACACTGTATTCACGGGGACACGAAAACAGGGAAAGTTTCGAAAGAGTAAAAAAACCATGGAGCTCCGAAAGTGTTTCTGGCTAACCGTACTCACCAGGAGCTCAGAGTGCTGCGGCACTCCCGTCTCTGCCACCACGGTGAGCACAGGGTTTACCGACTGTGGAGGCCACAATCCCTGAGAGTAGCGTCACGGCTTAGCGCCCCAACCCTGCACCTGAGCGGGCATCCAGCCCTACCTGCCTGGTCCGGCCCCACTTCGCTGGACTTTGTTAACATGATTCAATTTCGAGGAGATACATTCTTGACATGGCCTTCTTTCCCTAAAAGGGTGCTGTGGATTACTGAGCTCATTTGCTATTTTTATGCACAAAGAATAACTTGTTTGGCAGAGGCAGCATTATTGTTAAGTAATAACTGAGATAATCTTGGAAGTTAGCATTTTGGTTTGAGCGTTCACCTGTAATGACTGGGGGTACTGAAACTGCCCGCCTGCTCCTCTGGCGTTGTCACTGCACAGCCGCTGGCTTTGCGGGTGCGGCCCGCCTGCTCCTGCAGACCGCGGCCTCCTCTGAGGTCCTGCATGGTGAGGGGCAGCAGCAGCTTCGGCTGCTCACTCACCGCAAGCTGGTGGGGGCTTGTGCCCACGCACGTGCCCTCCCAGGGCTGTTCTGCCCTGGAGGTATCCCATGTGCCCTTCGGGTGGGTGACTGCGGGGCGGATCTGTGCACTAATTCTGCTGCCGACAAGGGCGGCGGGAGGCAGACTGCTACGAGCCCCGATTACCGCTTACAGAGCGCCTCATCCTGCGGGACAGCAGTCCCTGCTGCGTTGCCTTCTGGAAACGCACTTGGAAGAACCGGCTTGGCCCAGACCCGCTGAACGCGCATCTCTCCTCCGCCCCTCAGAGGCGGGGACCTCTGGGAGTTACTTCGGTCTTCACAGCGCAGCAGACATTTCTTCTCCAGCGGCGCTCAGTGAGGGGCCACGGGGCACCGCCCACACAGAAAGGAGCCTGCCAGGACCTCCATCGCGCTGTGAATCTCAGCAGCAGCCGCTGAGTTTTCCAGCTCTTTCCTGTGGTCCTTAGTGAAGATGGTGCAGGAGGCTGAAGCCCTGGCTTGGGCAGGAACACTTTGGGGAGGAGCAGCTCGCCTGGGCAGAGAGGAGATCGGACCGCAGAGCCCTGGGCTGCACTGGAGAGGCCGACGGGAGAACCGAGCTGGCCTTGCAGACTCAACCTGATTTGGCCTCGCAGGCTGAGGTCAACCCTGAAATCTGCACACTGGACAGTAGCGCCCTCCCCACAGGCCGCACGCCTTCTCTGCCCTGCCCTGGTCTCCCAGGCACAAGCCTCCCTCCCTTTCAGTGGAGGAGGAGGGGGGCACCCCAAGTCTTTGCTGCCATCAGCCTTGCTCCTTTACCGTTGAGGTACGTCCCAAGCCTCCAGTGGGCGACTGAGACCACGGATGGTCCCGAAGCCTGCACCTCCTGTGTGTCTCCCTGCGCACCCACCTGTGATAGAGCTCCACTGACACAACAGGCACAGCGGGCAGTTAACTACAATGTAACAAACAGAGTCAGTGTAACAACATGCTAGGAAGGTTACGTGTGGCTTCACTTCCTTAGGACATCCTCTCCTACGGTCCTCGCCCATCTCTCTTCTGCTGCTGACGCAAGAGGGTGCAGTGCCTACGTGAGGACAGGAAGTGCCTACGTGAGGACAGGAAGTGCCTACATGAGGACAGGAAGTGCCTACATGAGGACAGGAAGTGACGTGAATGACACTGGCTTTTTGACCCAGCATAGGGCTGTTACAGACAGGTCACCTGGACAAAGCTCTGCGCCACTGCCACTCTATGTAGTGCTCAGGACGGCTCCGGGGGAAGCTCCGCCAGAGATAGCATGTGCACTGTGGACCCACTGGTTAGAAGGAGGGTCCTGCACTGGGGGACAGACTGGGAATGGGGAGATTTCACCACGCTACCTAGGATGACCTGCAACTTCACACTTACAGCTTGCTTATTTCTGGAATTTTCCAATTAATGTTGTTGAGGGAACCAAAACCACAGAAGGCAAAACCAAGGCTAAGGGGAGAGAGACCACTGTATCGGAAGGGCCTCTTTCTGACACCAGGCAGTGGGACATCGCCAGTCTCAGGAAGACGCTGATGCAGAGTTGAGGAGCAGGATGTGGATGCTGCAGGCCCAGCACGATGCTCATGCTCTAGCCTTCTTTGCTGTTCCTCCGCCTTCAGATAAAAGCAGAAGGTAACACACACTCCGAGGAGGAGGCAGCCTGTTGCCCTGTCTCAGACATCACTCTGTGGGCAGAAATGGCTATGCAGTGGAGAGGGCAGAGAAGCAGCCAGGGTGCCAGCCCGGTCCCTGCCCAGTTCAGGGGTTCCAGGGAGAAGCGGGTGGCACCTTCCCTCGTCCTCCCTGCTGGCCCGCCGCCCTGGTGAGCGGGAAGGCCTGCTGCTCTTGTCTGAGGCAGTGGCTCAGTTGCTGGGAGAGCCGAGGAGACTGAGCGTCTTGGGGCCGCCTTGGATGGTGGATTCTGTGTGTACAAAAGTGCTCCTGACACTGGGTACTGGGGTGGCTCAAATTTGGGGAACCCCAAATCCAGCTTCCTAGACCCGAGCCTCATCCCCGGCCTACCTGCTGCCTCCCCCGTGTCCAGAACGCCCACATGGGCCACCTTCCCGGCCACAGGTGCGGCCGCAGGAGCCCCAATCGGCCCACCTCAGTCTCGGCTGTCCCCTCTGCGCAGCGCTGCGGTCTCACCTCACTGCTCCGTCGCTGGGTCCCTCCACTGTGCCTCTGCAGTGGCCCCCAGACGGGAGCAGCCCGTCACTGAAGCCCAAACAGGAGAGGAAACAGGCAGCAAGTGGAATTCCAGTCTACAAGCCCTTGGAATGTTGGGGGGCAGCCCCATGGGAGCTGGCTTTCTTCCCCGCCCCTACTCTTGCCCGTTACGGTACACCTGGGTCCCCGTGTCCCCATCTGCTCCTACCTGGACGCCTGCAGTCCCCTGGCCCCCAGGCCCTGGCCTTTCTGATCCTGCTAAGTAGTGGGCAGAGCTGCTGAGACAAGGCCCTGTCCCTGCAACGGAGGCCCCCGAGTCTCCTCCCCACCGGACACAGCGCCCACCTCTCTGGGACAGGTCCTTCCATGCCACACCTCTCCTGGGGGTGGGGCCATTTTAGGACAAAACTGAGTGGCCTGGGGAAAAATGGAAGAGGTCGACTCTAAGCCTGGGTGAGCTACCTAGCACCCCACAAGATACACTTGTTTTGGAAAAGTCTAGAAAAATGGATACTCCATGCTATTCTGTTCTGAAATTTATTGGAAATCTATAATTGCTGAACTATGCTATGGACAATAATTATATAATGGTTGGACCAGGAAGTTAGCGGCCGCTGAGACTATTTCTGTAGAATTCCAACTGCGTGGCTTTTTAACTTACATAACACTGGGTAATTTGGAGACCATTGGTGTTTTGTAGCTAGTAGGAGGCAGACATGAGGCTAATTTCACTTTTCGAAGAGTCTGGAGCAAGTCTGTCAGCAGCTATCGCATCCAGCCAGCCAGAAAGACTCCAGCACGTACTGTGGCATTCTATGGCAGCTCTCTGGGGCCAACAAAATAGGAACCACCGCAAAGTCCACTGCTCAGGAGATAAAAAATAGTCTGCCAAATTACAGTGCAAAACAGAAGTTAGCCACAGATATTAGGCTGAAATTGCACACACACACCACACACACATGCGGGGGTCAGCCTGACAGATGCGGGCGCACCAGGGACGGTTCCTCTGGAACAGCCGACTGTGAGCGTGCTGGGGAGAACGACTGCTGTCACTAAGGGCTGACGTGACCGCCGACGTCTCTGTTGAATTCTAACCACCAACAGTCACTTCTCACTGCCAGGATCTGACTCCTAACGAGCCCAGGAGCCGTGACTAGGCCAGAGCCCCACGGTCCTGGGCAGGGCCCTGCCTGAGTGGCCCTGGTTCGTCCCTCTGTGCTGCAGGGTGGGGGCCTGAGAGGGGAATCGGCTACCCGAACAAAGTCTGTCCCAGCCACCCCCTGTGCTTTTAAATTGGTGAACATGTAAAAACTAATTTAAAATATTTTAATAACCGGAGAACGAATCACATTTTCCTAGGTCACAGCGCCAGGCAGGAAAGCCTAAGGGACCCGCCTTCCACGCCCCGTTCCTCGGAGCCAGGCCGACCCTGGCCACTTGCTATTTTCCGCCTCTGTGGCTGTGCGGACCCCCGGGCAGCCCCAGAGCACCCTCGGCTTGCAGCTGCCCTGCTCACGGGTGGCCCCCCCTGCTTTGCATGTACTCACCTCCTCAGACTTGGGAGACACGCGCCACATTTCTGTGCTCTGAATGCGGCATTTGAAATGCTTTATTCCCACGCTATCCTGTAAGGCTAACGACCGTCTCGGGCCGCCTGGGCGCGGCTCCCAGCTGCTAGGAGGCATCTCCGCTTTAAGCTCACAGACTGCAGTTATTATTCTAGCGCTCGTGTGTCCACACTGCGTCCACACTGTTCCCTCTGTTGACGTGTCAAACCCCACGGCTCACACCTTCCCGGTCGTCTCTGTCCTCCAAACCACAGCCCTTCAGCGTGACTCCCAGGGCTTCCGGTAGTGAAGATCCTCATTTTCTGCCGATCTGCAGATGTCTTTCTTCTCCTTGTTCTTAGAAGTCAGTGCCACTGATCTGCAGTTCCAGGTCTGTAATGACTTCCTAGCGCACCGAAGGCACTCCGCTTCCCTCTGGCTTTGATTTTACAGTGAAGGAGACTGCCATCTCATTGACTTTTATAGGTAATCTGTCTTTTCTCTTTGGCTGCTTTTATAATCTTATTTTTGTCTTTTTTTTGTTTTGTTTTTTTGAGACAGGGTTTCATTATGTAGTTCAAGTTGGCCTTGAACTCACTAGGTAGCCCAAGCTGGCCTTGAACTCGAGGTCATCCTCCTGCCTCAGCCTCCTGAGTGCTGGGATTACAGGCATGCACCACCACACCTGCCCTTATTTTTTGTCTTTGATGATATGTAGCATGACTAACGTTAAAAATTCCATGTATAAATCCATTTTGATCTTGCTTGGTATATTATATTGCGTCTTCAATTCCACAAAATTCTGGCTATTATTTCTCAAGCAGTCTGTTAAATATTTCGCCCTGAAACTGAATGTGGCTGCAGCCGGGCTTTCTGCGTGTGCTCCCCGCAGGCTCCCTCATGTCCCCGTGCTTTGGGACAGTCCTCCCCCCACACTGTCGGGGCCGTCGCGCTCCTCACCGCGCAGGCTCTCTGAGCACTCATGCAGGCGTGGGCCATGCAGTCCCGCTGTCCGGCACCCCGCCCTCCACCCACTACCCAGCCTCTCCTTGCCGGTGGACCCACAGCCCCAGCTCAGCCTGCCCCGCTGAGGTCTGAGCCCTGGCGCTTTTGGGAAAGGTTCCTGGCAATGCTTCTGCCTGCATTCGGCATGCTGATAATGGATTCCCTCGCTGGGGCTTTACTTACACGTTAGTTTTTTATATATATAAAATTCTCATCTCATATGTTCTTTTCTTTAGTATCTATATTTCATTTCTTTCTAGCATAAGACGTTGCTTAAAAAGGTTTTTTTTTTGCTTAAAAAGTTTGGTGATCATATAATTTTCTTCTTTTTTTTTTTTTTTTTTT